TCACACTTATGTTGCCAGTGCGAACGTTGTGGTTTCTACATTCTAATTCATTGGTGGGAACGTTCTAATGGGGCACTGGGGTGGTCCACATTCGGGAGACGAATAGGTTCCGTTCGTAGGAACACTCCCGAACGGGCAACTAGGGTGTAGGACACGAAATACACAGGGAAACACATAAAACCAGGGGAAAACACACAAATAGGCAGTGGTTCTGCCACATACACATATATATATATATATATTGTGACCGACCGCCTGGCACCCCGACCGGGTTCCTCCATCTATTGCTGCTTCCTAGTACTTGCGAGTACCATAATCACTGCACTGGAACACCATAACCACCGTAAACACCACGAACCGCCGCAGCTTGGTTTGGGTCTCACCGCCCTCCACCCACCCTGGACCCAGGATCCAGCTTCCAGTTGGTAGACCTCTTATAGTCCAGAGAGCGTAGCAGTAACAGCTCTTAGAAGAGCTAGTGATTATAATCAGGGGAGTATTGTGATTATAGCAATCCCCAGAGTGTATGTAGTTCTCAAATCCCCCCCCCCAACATGAACCAAGCCTTCATGAAGGGGTGAAGTATTCTCTTTAATGGCAGCCACCATTAATGGTATGCAAGTCCCATGCAAGGGGCACTCCCACCTGGACCTTGTGGGGAACTGCAGCACCAAGTCACAGACCTATAACAAAAATGGTTAAATGCATGACACTCCCATATACAAACACACAATCACTCCCCTCTGCCTTGGAGATAATTGAATCAGGAACTCTACTAATCTAATCCAATTATCTCCAAGCAAAGAAAAAACTAACTTTTTTAAAACACCCCAAAACCCTGAAAATACACAAAACCCCAAAAATGTTACATCTGGGTGACCAACATATCTAAAAATCACCCAGATCAGTTCAGGGGTACAGGAATTTCCTGGAAGTCTTATTTTTGACCCACCGAGCACATGGTCCTATACCCAAAACAGTTCCAGAGAATTAGGGCTAACGGTCGCTCTCTCTGTCTGGAGTACAAAGGTACATACTTCACATGAACAGAGCCTTTTAAAGTGCACTGGGCAAGGTATATTTCAGGGCCCATAGTCCTGAGGCAAGAGGCAAGAGACTGGCCAGCAGGCCCCTCCAAAAGCCAGTGACGAGGTTACTTTCGTCACATATATATATTATTATGAAATATAAATAAGAAGTAAATAAGAAGAAAAAAAAAATCAAACTAGGGATCGGCCGATATTCGGTATTTTCATTTTTCACATACAAATGTCACTTTCACTGATGATATCATTGTTGTGATATGTTTTACTGTTTTGAAACACTCATATTTATGTTCAGCGAAGTCTCCCGATTATAACCGTACCCTGCATGTTCTGGTTTTATAGTGTTTTTGAAAGTTACAGGGTCAAATATAAGGCTTGCTCTTTTAATTCTTTTCATTGAAATTTGCCAAATTGTCTATGTTGCCTTTTAGACCGTATGGTAGCCCAGGAATGAAAATTTCCCCCATGATGGCATACCATTTCCAAATGTAGACAACCCAAGGTATTGCAAATGGGGTATGTCTAGTCTTTTTTTAGTAGCCACGTAGTTACTGTCAGGGTTTCTTTGCTGTTTTAGACAGCAACCCTTCCTTTTTCTGTGTCTGAGTTTTCAGCTGGTTTTAATGATCAGCTCCTTCAGTAATGTTGCCATGGTTACTCACCTGATAGTAGTAACCAGCCCTGCTGCTAATCAGTGCAGCCTATTTAAGCAGCAAATTCCAGTACCTCCTTGCCCATGCGTGGTTTCCTGTTTCCCAGAAGACTCCTTGTTCTTGACTCTGGCCTTGTTCCTGACTTCGCTGCTCTCCGTTCGCCTGATCCTGGCTCGTCTGACTACCCGCTTTGGTGCCTGACCCTTGCTTGCCTCCTGGACTTTGCTTTTGGTTATTAATTTATTTTCTATTTATTAATAAAGGTGTTTTTGCATCTAGTTCTGTCTCTGTCTGGTTCCTGGTCCCTAACATTACGCAAGGGCCATGAATACAGATGGTACAGGCAATACACCTATACCTAACCTATTTACTCGGTGGGACCAGCAGACCCACTGTTTGGACCAGTGTGCACATGCTCTCCAGACCCTCCTGATTCGTAATGCACGTCTGGATCCAGCACCCAGCCAGCCTGCGATTGCGGCCGCCTCTGCCTCACTTCCTGTTCTAGCACCAGTTGTAGCCTCCAAACCTGTTGCGGCTAGAGGAATGACTGCGTCTGTCCCGCTCCCTCAGTATTTTGGGGGCAACCCAGCTCGGTGCAAAGAATTCGTAAACCAGGATACCTTGAAATGGTTCCCCAGGCATTTCCTACAGACAGAAGCAAAGTCCGGTTCATGATTTCTTTGCTGTCTGAAAAAGCCCTAGCTTGGGCAAAACCTCTCTGGGAGGCAAAGAAGCCCATTATTTACAATTACCCTAAATTTGTTGTGTCCTTTAAAAGGGTTTTTGATATTTCAGATCGCTCCACCTCTGCTGCCAAACAACTCATGTCTAATGCACAGGGCATAAGAACAATTGTCAAGTATGCCAGTGAATTTCGTACCATGGCAGCAGAGGGTGGCTGGAACAACGAGACTCTTGTGGCTGCCTTTTTCACATGGGCTCTCCGATGTTATTAAGGATGAGAGTGCAGCCAGAGAATTACCTAAAGATCTTGAGGAACTGATATCCTTTGTCATCCTCATTGATATCAGACTCCGAGAGAGATGCTCATTCAGAAAGCACCTGCGGAGGACTCCTGTATATTTGGCACCGAGCTTTTCTTCCCCACCCAAGCCTCCCTCACCTCCCATGCCTCCTGGTCTTGAGTCCTTTGGCAGTGTGGAGCCGAGGTGGTTAGGCTTCTCACACCTCTCTGTCGAGCGGGGAGGGCCTTCTAGGAGGAGGGAAGGCCTGTGTCTATACTGCGGACACCAGATCACCTGTTAAAGTCTTGCCCGATTTGTCCGGTAAAATGCCCGCACCTAAGATACTGTCAGGGGCAGATCTTGGGTGGTCTTTCTGCAGGCCTATTATCCTCTCCTGGCCTGATTCATCCATTAAAATCCGGGCATTGCTTGATTCTGGGGCCGCAGGCTTGTTTATAGATTGTGCATTTGCATCCGAACACTCTATACCCTTACAGCCTCACAACTCTCCACTAGCTTTCGAAGCCATTGATGGCAGACCAATACAGCCAACCCACGTAACCCATGAGACTGTGCCCATATCTTTGGCTGTAGCGGCTCTACAGCACAAGATGATCCAACTCCAGGTCATTTCCTCTCCATATTACCCGGTTGTTTTGGTATACCCTTGGCTACAGAAGCATAACCCCACAATTGATTAGCACAAATCTGAGCTATGATCAGCAATGCACATTTTCTTGTCTCCGGAAACCGGTCAAAGTTTTGGGCACATTTTCTGCTTCTTCGTTACCCGCTGAGTACCAAGGATTCCAAGATGTATTTGACAAGGGTCAGGCCAGCGTTCTGCCGCCACACCATCCTTCTGACTGTGGTATCGAACTCCAACCTGATGCCATTCCTCCTCATGGCCGGATTTACCCGATGTCTGTAGTAGAGAATCAAGCCATGGAGGAGTATGTTACCAATGCATTGTCAAGGGGATTCATTCGGAAGTCATCTTCTCCTACTGGGGCTGGCCTTTTCTTTGTGAAAAAGAAGAGTGGCGAGTTAAGACCCTGTATCGACTATAGGGGTCTCAATTGTATTACTATTAAGAATGCCTACCCCATTCCATTGATCATGGAGTTATTCGACCGCCTCAAGGGAGCAAAGGTCTTCACTAAACTTGATCTGAGAGGGGCATATAATCTTGTCAGGATAAAAGAGGGCCACAAATGGAAAACCACATTTAACACCAGGAGAGGGCCTTATGAATACCTAGTAATGCCCTTTGGTTTTGGCAATGTTCCGGCGGTTTTCCAGGAATTTATAAATGACGTCCTGCGAGATATGCTGCAGCAATGTGTGGTGGTTTATCGCGACGATATTCTTATCCATTCCACATCTCTCGAGAACCATCATGCAGACGTTTCTCGTGTTCTACAGAGACCCAGAGAAAATAATCTTTTCAGTAAATTGGAGAAATGTGAGTTCAACTGCAAACACGTCACATTCTTGGGCTACGTTATTTCAGATGCTGGATTCTCTACGGACCCAGAGAAATTTTCTGCTGTACTACAATGGCCTCGACCTACGGGTCTTCGCTCTATACAGCATTTTCCTGGCTTTGCCAATTATTACCAGAAGTTCATACGCAACTTTTCTTCCTTGGTTAAACCTCTCACAGATAAGACCAGGAGAGATGGTGATCCACAACATTGGTCACAGGAAGCCATTACTGCCTTTGAGTCTCTCAAAGTCGCCTTTGCTGCAGATCCAATACTGGCACACCCTAACCCTGCCTTAGCATTCATTCTTGAAGTCGATGCGTCTGAGATAGGAGTAGGCGCCCTCCTGTGTCAACGTCCTAACCCAGAGAGCTCCATGCATCTGTGCGGGTATTTCTCGAAGAAATTGAGCCCGGCAGAATGCAATTACCAGATTGGTGATAAGGAACTTTTAGCTATAATTTTAGCTCTCAAAGAATGGAGGCACCTTCTTAAGGGTACTTCAGTGCCAATTCTCATCCTCACAGACCACAAGAATCTTACATATTTTTCCGACGCTAAGCGGCTTTCCCCCTGGCAAGCTTGATTGGCTCTCTTCCCATCAAGATTCAATTATGTGGTTTTTTTTTATCTGCCTGATACTAAAATCATTCGTGCTGTTGCTTTGTCTCGACAATTCTCTCCTCCATCTAGAGAGGAGATAACCCCTACTCCTGTGATTCCTCCGGAGCGTATACTAGCCACCATCCGTACTAACCTCACCTCACCCCTAGGCGAAGAGATTCTGGCTGCACAAATTAATGCTCCTCCAGAGAAATCTAATGGCCGTTGTTTTGTACCTATTCATCTCCGTACTAAATTATTAAGTACATATCACAACCCAAAGCAGCTAGACATCCAGGCAAAAAACAGTTAATCTGGTCCGTCTGGTCTGGCTGTCTTCCCGCTACCTACAGCTTCGTGTTCCCTCACAAAAACTGGCACCCTGGTACGTTGGGCCATTTTGTATACTTCAAAGGGTTAACTCTGTAGCTTATGCACTTGACCTTCCTGCTAGCATGCGCATCTGGAATGTATTTCATGTTTCCCTCTTGAACCCCCTGGGTATGTAATCGTTACACCACCTTAGTGCCACGTCCACGTCCTGTTCTGGTTGCTAATCATGAGGGATATGAAATACGCAGCATCATTGAGTCACAAGTGTTCAGAGGACAGATCCAATACTTGGTGCACTGGAAAGGGTACAGTCCAGAGGAACGCTCCTGGATTCCAGCCTCTGATGTCCATGCACCATCCCTCCTTCGTTCCTATCATGCCCGCTTTCCCATAAAGCCTGGATCCACCAGCAGATATAGGGGGAGTCGTTGAGGGGGAGGTACTGTCAGGGTTTCTTTGCTGTTTTAAACAGCAACCCTTCCTTTTTCTGTGTCTGAGTTTTCAGTTGGTTTTAACGATCAGCTCCTTCAGTAATGTTGCCACGGTTACTCACTGATAGTAGTAACCAGCCCTGCTTCTAATCAGTGCAGCCTATTTAAGCAGCAAATCTCAGGACCTCCTTGCCCTTGCATGGTTTCCTGTTTCCCAGAAGACTCATTGTTCCTGGTTCCTGACTCTGGCCTTGTTCCTGACTTCGCTGCTCTCCGTTCTCCTGATCCTGGCTCGTCTGACTACCCGCTTTGGTGCCTGACCCTTGCTTGCCTCCTGGACTTTGCTTTTGGTTATTACTTTGTTTTCTATTTATTAATAAAGGTGTTTTTGCAACTAATTCTGTCTGTTTGGTTCCTGGTCCCTAACAGTCGCAAACACTGGCCAAAGTTAGCATTCATATTAGTTTTTTGAATTTTTCACACACAAACAAATGTAATTACTAGATTTGGCTAGTGTTCATGACTACTAAAGTGACTACTAAAAAAGATTGGACTTACCCCATATTGAATTTATCTACTTTTGTAAATGGTATGCGATCACGATGGTAATTCTAATTTGGGCTATGATACAGTGTGAAAGGCAACATAATGTCAGTAAATACTGGGATCCGCTATGCAGAGTGTAATAGAATAGTAACGTATACTGGACCTTAGAATTCCCGCATTGACGTCACGAGGATCTGTCTGATGTCAGACAGAGGAGCCCGACACTGGATTAAGGTAAACTTCTGAAGGGGTTTTAACCCCTTCAGCGCCACGGGAGGGGGACCCTGAAGGTGGGGGAACCCTCAGGGCACTATAGTGTCAGAAAAACCACTTTGTTTTCCTAACACTATAGTGATCCTTTAACATACCACACAGAACTAAAAGAATAATAAAAAAAACATAAACTATGTTCTCACACTTTTTTTTAGAATTTATTCATAATAAATGTTTTATATATGAATAGTTCATGTGAAATTAAAGACCTGTTTCTCCTGAACAAAATTATATATAATAAGTGTTGAACAGATATATTCCAGTTTATGTTTATGTTTTGCTTTGGTCACAACTTGTACAATCAGCTCAGTCCTGAAAAGGTTAAGCCAAAATAGCTGAAGACCGGTGTTCTATCACATTACTGTACCTTGTCAGAATGCTATACCCACGTCATTTCCTGTGACGCAGCCGCACCGGAAGTGACGTTTCCCAGCTGGAGGAGTGCAGTGCCGCGCAGACGCAGAAGATCATGTAGGGGAAATTTTCAGCCACAGTACGGGGAGAAGAGGCCACCAGTTGCGCATGCGCGAAAGCAATCGGCTGTCCACCGGCACACACTGCGCCTGAAGCCACAAAAGTGGGTGTGAGGTAGGGGATGTAACGGGCCAGTGCACGTGCGTACCAGCGGCCAGGGAGAGCTCTTACACCCAGCATTTAACAGATCTGATGGTCCCTTTCACTGTCAAATCTCCCTACCCCACACAGCACACGCACACAATCCGCTGTGGCTGGCCTGCGGACACCACGCGTGCGCACTCAGGGATATAGAAATCTGATGGCCATTTGGATATAGAAATCTGATGGCCTTCTGAGAAATCTCCCTACCCCTGAGTGTGCATGCGCTGTGTCCGATCCTCAAGTGCATCTTGATATCTATCAGGTCAGTCTCGCTCCCAACATTCTCAGCCATCCGGGGGAGGGGGGTCTGTGGTGTATGGGGGGCACTGTGCAGTATTGGGGGGGACTGTGCTGTGTAAAGGGGCGGTCTTTGCAGTATATTGGGGGAGGCTGTGCAGTACATGGTGGGCTGTGCATTACATGTTGGTGGGCAGTGTATTAGATGGGTGGCTGTGCATTAGATGTGGGGGGGCAGTGTACTAAATGGGGGGCAGTGCAGTATGTGGGGCCTGTGTGTTAGATGTGTACAGCCCTAGTTTGACAACAAAACATTTATTTCAGAGATCTCAGACACCACAGCCTGCTTTTTACTACGAAAGCCCAGCCATCTAGTCACTCACCAGGGGTGGATGAGAAACTGCATCCCAGCCAGAGGGACTGCCCCACATCTGCAACCAAATCCATCTGTCACTGAATTCTGCAGTATCCGTGTCTTTGTGCATTGTGTATGTATAGTACTCCCAAGTCTTATATTTATTTGTTGGATACCACACTGTGGCTTTTATTAACCAGTTTCCAAATTTTTTACTTTATATGTATAGTGGAAAAAATATAAAAGTCTAAACTGCATATTAACTTTGAAGAAATAAAGTATTTTGCTGACACCATGACATGCAATTTGTTTTACTTAGCTACAAATAATACCAGCACTTGCTGCGTCCCATTGTAGGTTTCTCAGAAACTGGAATATTTAACATTGCAGGGTTAAGGGGACATAGGCACTGCACCCAAACCATTTAAACGAGATGACGTGGGCTTGGTGCCTATTGTGCCCCTTTAAAGAGCAACTTCTTACTATGCTTATTGCTATGCTTACTGCTATCTTTTGAAAGTCATCACATTTATAAGCAAAACTATGCATAGGCACAGTGACAAGAAGACCTATCTGCACCATAAATTATCATATGTTGTTACAATGCCATATTTCCTAACAGTCCCAGTTTGGGTTTGCTCTCCACTGTCCCACAACAATTAACAGGTTAACATTATTACAGACAAATTACTGTAGATTTAAAAATTAAGAGTTTTAATCTTTTTAAAAGTAGCAATATAAAAAAGTCAAACAATATTTAATTTCTAATTTAACAAAATTGAAAAAGTATGTTGTCCATTAATTACATAATAATTGCACGTGGCCTAATATATTTTTATTGTCACCCCCCTCTCACCCTGTCACCCCATTTCATCACCCCCTGTCACTCCCCCACACTACGTCACCCCCCTCTTACTGTCACCTCACCATCACCCCTCACTCTGTCACCCTCCTCACACTGTCGCCCACCCTCACTCTGTCACCCCCCCGCTTACTGTCACCTCTCCTCATCACCCTCTCACACAACGTCACCCCCCCTCACACGGCCACCACTCCCCGTACACACGGGCACCACTCTCCGCACTCTGGCACCTCCCTCCATACACACTGTCAACCCTCAACACTGGCACCCTCCTGTTCTTTTACACTCACACTGCCACAGTTACCCCTTTACTCACCCTGTCACCCCCTGAAGGCAATCATTATACACACCATCATAAAACATAGCTTCGCCATAAACTCGGTGCCAAAGGCCACAGTCAGTACACAAACATACACATGCTCAGAGAAGCATACATACAGATACAAGGATACTCACTGTCAGACACACACCCAGGTAGACAATGCGACGATGTAAACAGAGACTAGCTCTATATGTATCCAGTGCTGCAAGCTCCCCCATCAATATATCTACAGCTTCTTATACACAAAGTCAACTGCTATTTTTTCTTCAATAATGGTGTTCTTCGTGGGGGCCTCATGTATGAGTTTCACCTAAGGCCTCGCCAAGTCTAGAGCCGCCACTGCAGTACAGCCCTTCAGTATCCAATAGTCTCTTATGCAGGGACTCCTCAAAGCAGTTTGCTCCTTCCCTCTGGAACTGTAAAAATAAAAAATATAGTTACAACTCACCAAATCGTAACCAGAAAGCATATTACAATGTACTTTTAAATAATTACAAACGACAAATTCAATGTTGAGGATTGGAGGCGTAGAATAGAAAGAATGATCGAGCGCTTTCAATTTTGAATAAAAGCATCTCTGTGCTTACAGTGTAAGCAGTGTTTAGTTGATACAGTCACAGTATAAGCAGTGTTTAGGAGATACGGTTGCAGTATAAGCAGTGTGTAGACGATACTGTCACAGTGTAAGCAGTGTTTAGGCGATATGGTCACAGTGTAAGCAGTGTTTCGTCGATACAGAGGTTTCATTCTCCACAATCACAGTACTTTTGGTTACCTTATAAGTATTACAGTGACTCACATTGGTTGTATTGGCACATGAATACACATGTGAGCAGTAATGCCATGTCAAGGCTTCAACCCTTGTTAGTGACCATTCACACACACCATACTTTTCATTCATATGCATTCGGTATTCCAGATGTTTTGGACTACACCTCCTATAATGCTGGCAAAGATGTAATTCACAGCATCTGGACTGCCTAAGGTTACCTACCTCTGATCACAGTACACAATGTTGAAGTTGCCGTGCAAACAGGAGAAACTTGTCACGTGTCAGATGGCACTTCAATAATCCACCCTGGACGCGAGCCTCAAACATGGGCTTCTTCATTTCTCTTTATGTACTTCGTGCCCCATGGGAGAACATGCTTGTCAGAGTTGTGACACACACAAAAATATAATGGTTAGAGTAAAATGGCATAACAGACACAGTGCATACAGACTTGCGTGCCACATATTTACAGCAGACAGACACAAAGATTGTTAGAGACACACCGTATTAAATATAACAATTGGGAGTACTATACAAACACAATGCACAAAGACACAGATTACAGAATTCAGTGACAGATGGATTTGGTTGCAGATGTGGGGCAGTCCCTCTGGCTGGGGTGCAGTTTCTCATCCACCCCTGGTGAGTGACTAGATGGCTGGGTTTTCGTAGCAAAAAGCAGGCCATGTCGTCTGAGATCTCTGAAATATTTTGTAGTCAAACTAGGGCTGTACACATCTAACACACAGGCCCCACATACTGCACTGCCCCTCCCCCCCCCACACAGCTAACGCACATTCCCCCCTTCCCCACATCTAACGCACAACCACCCCATCCCCACATCTAACGCACAGGCCCCACATCTAACGCACAACCACCCCATCCCCACATCTAACGCACAGCCCCCCCATCCCCACATCTAACGCACAGCACCCTAATACACTGCCTCCCACACCTAACGCACAGCCCCCTAATACACTGCCCACCCACATGTAATGCACAGCCCACCATGTACTGCACAGACGCCCCCAATATACTGCACAGACCCGCCCCCACACTGCGCAGATCCCCCCCCCATACTGCACAGACCCCCCATCCCCGGATCAGCGAGACTGACCTGAGATGTCAAGATGCACTTGAGGATCGGACACCGCGCATGCGCACTCAGGGGTAAGGAGATTTCTCAGAAGAACAAATGGCCATCAGATTTCTATACCCCTGAGTGCGCATGCGCGGTGTCAGCAGGCCAGCCACAGCTGATTGTGTGCATGCGTTGTGGGGTAGGGAGATTTGACAGTGAAAGGGACCATCAGATCTCCCTATCCCCATACTGTGCATGCGCGGTGTCCGTGCGCAAGGCTGTCCTGGCTGGGTAGGCGCGTGCACAGTGTGGGGCAGAGAGATCGGATAAATGCTCGGTGTAAGAGCTCTCCCTGGCCACCGGTGCGCATGCGCGGTGTATCCCGCTGTCTGTGCCCGACGGGAGTACTTAGCCATGCGTGCGCACTGGCCCGTTACATCCCCTACCTCACACCCCCTCTTGTGGCTGCAGGCACAGTGTGTCCTGGTGGACAGCTGATTGCTTTCGTGCATGCGCAATTGGTGGCCTCTTCTCCCCGTACTGTGGCTGAAAATTTCCCCTACTTGATCTTCTGCGCCTGCGCGGCGCTGCACTCCTGCTCCAGCTGGGAAACACCACTTCCGGTGCGGCCGCGTCACAGGAATTGACGCGGGTATAGAATTCTGACAAGGTAAAGTAAAAGGTAGCGGCTAGTTCCTATCCAGTAGAAGGGCGCTGGTGACATCACCTTGGTGTAAGTGGGTCTCTCTCTCCCATCCCCTCGGTGTGAGTGTGTGTTGTGCTCTCTCTCCCATCCCCTCGGTGTGAGTGTGTGTCGTGCTCTCTCTCCCATCCCCTCGGTGTGAGTGGGTCTCTCTCTCTCCCATCCCCTCGATGTGAGTGGGTCTCTCTCTCTCCCATCCCCTCGATGTGAGTGGGTCTCTCTCTCTCCCATCCCCTCGGTGTGAGTGGGTCTCTCTCTCTCCCATCCCCTCGGTGTGAGTGTGTCGTGCTCTCTAGGGATCGACCGATATTGATTTTTTTAGAGCCGATACCGATAATCTGTTAACTTTCAGGCCGATAGCCGATAACTTGCCGATATTCTGTACATTTACCATTTTGAAAAAATAAACTATTTCTAAAAGGTAAATGCACAAAATATAAAAGCCACATGCACTGGATGCAGTGTGTTTAGACAGTGGAGCTGTGTATATTTTTTTGTAATGAATGCAGGGTGTGTTTGTGTAGTTTGTATAGTTAATGCAGTGACTGTGTAGTGTGTATATAATGAATGCAGAGTGTGTGTTTGTGTAGTGTGTGGTGTATAAAGGGAATGCAGTGTGTTTGTGTGTAGTGTGTGTAAAGTGAATGCAGTGTTTAGTGTGTATAGCGAACGCAGTGTGTGTATAGTGAATGCAGTGCATGTAGTGTGCGTATAGTGAATGCAGTGTGTCTGTATAGTGTGTGTATATAATGAATACAGTGTGTGTGTGTGTGTGTGTGTGTGTGTATATAATGTAGTGTTTGCAGTGTGTGTGTATACAATGCAGTGTTTGTAATGTGTGTGTGTATATAATGCAGTGTTTGTAGTGTGTGTGTGTATATAATGCAGTGTGTGTGTATAATGCAGTGTGTGTAGTGTGTGCAGTAAACACACACTGCATTATATATACACACACACACACTAAATTATATAGACACACTACACTATATACACACTCTGCATTATATACAGAGTGTGTAGTGTGTGTGTATATAATGCAGTGTGTGTGTGTGTGTTTTCCTGAAGGGATGTGATTTGTGTAAAATGGGGGGGGGGGAAGGCATTGTTTTATTTTATTTTTTAATATTTATGTTTATTTTAATTTGTAATATTTATGTTTATTTTTTTTATGCTAATTTTTAATATTTGTTTTGTTATTTTTGTTGTCCCCCCTCCCTGCTTATTACCTGGTCAGGGATGGGGGATATAACAGTCCCTGGTGGTCCAGTGGCATTGGCTGAGCTGGGGGTGGGCGCAGGTAGCGTTTACTTACCTCCCCTGCAGCTCCTCCAGCTCCCAGTGTAAATCTCGCGGCCCTTGGTGCCTGACGGCCGCGGATCTCGCGAGATTTACACTGGGAGCTGGAGGAGCTGCAGGGGAGGTAAGTAAACGCTACCTGCGGCCCCCCCAGGACCGCCAGGCCTGTAATGAGCCAGGCAGTCCTAGGAGGTATTATCGGCAATATCGGTATCTATAGTGGCCGATACGGATATTGCCGAAAATACAGAATATCGGCCGATTATATCGGTAAAACCGATAATCGGTCGATCCCTAGTGCTCTCTCTCCCATCCCCTCGGTGTGAGTGTGTGTCGTGTTCTCTCTCCCATCCCCTCGGTGTGAGTGTGTGTTGTGCTCTCTCTCCCATTCCCTCGGTGTGAGTGTGTGTCGTGCTCTCTCTCCCATCCCCTCGGTGTGTGTGTGTCGCGCTCTCTCTCCAATCCCCTCATTGTGAGTGTGTCGTGCTCTCCCTCCCATCCCCTCATTGTGAGTGTGTGTCATGCTCTCCCCCCCCTCATTGTGAGTGTGTGTCGTGCTCTCCCTCCCCTCATTGTGAGTGTGTGTCGTGCTCTCCCTCCTATCCCCTCATTGTGAATGTGTGTCATGCTCTCCTTCCTATTCCCTCATTGTGAGTTTGTGTCGTGCTCTCCCTCCTATCCCCTCTGTGTGTGCGTGGGGGTGTCTCTCTCCCATCCCCTCGGTGTGTGTGTGGGGGTCTCTCTCTACCATCCCCTCAGTGTGTGTGTCTGGGCGTCTCTCTCTCCCATCCCCTCGGTGTGTGTGAGTGGGTCTCTCTCTCCCATACCATCGGTGTGAGTGGGTCTCTTTCTCCCATCCCCTCGGTGTGAGTGGGTCTATCTCCCATCCCCTCGGTGTGAGTGGGTCTCTCTCCCATCCCCTCGGTGTGTGGTCTCTCTCTCACCCAGTGGGTCTCTCTCTCCCATCCCCAGGGTCTCTCTCTCTCCCCCCTCGTCTCTCTCCCATCCCGGTGTGAGTGGGTCTCTCTCTCACCCATCCCCTCGGTGTGAGTGGGTCTCTCTCTCACCCATCCCCTCGGTGTGAGTGGGTCTCTCTCTCTCCCATCCCCTCGGTGTGAGTGGGTCTCTCTCTCTCCCATCCCCTCGGTGTGAGTGGGTCTCTCTCTCTCCCATCCCCTTGGTGTGAGTGGGTCTCTCTCTCCCATCCCCTCGGTGTGAGTGTGTGTCGTGCTCTCTCTCCCATCCCCTCGGTGTGTGTGTGTCGCGCTCTCTCTCCAATCCCCTCATTGTGAGTGTGTCGTGCTCTCCCTCCCATCCCCTCATTGTGAGTGTGTGTCATGCTCTCCCTCCCCTCATTGTGAGTGTGTGTCGTGCTCTCCCTCCCCTCATTGTGAGTGTGTGTCGTGCTCTCCCTCCTATCCCCTCATTGTGAATGTGTGTCGTGCTCTCCTTCCTATTCCCTCATTGTGAGTTTGTGTCGTGCTCTCCCTCCTATCCCCTCGGTGTGTGCGTGGGGGTGTCTCTCTCCCATCCCCTCGGTGTGTGTGTGGGGGTCTCTCTCTACCATCCCCTCAGTGTGTGTGTCTGGGCGTCTCTCTCTCCCATCCCCTCGGTGTGTGTGAGTGGGTCTCTCTCTCCCATACCATCGGTGTGAGTGGGTCTCTTTCTCCCATCCCCTCGGTGTGAGTGGGTCTATCTCCCATCCCACTCGGTGTGAGTGGGTCTCTCTCCCATCCCCTCGGTGTGAGTGTGTCTCTCTCTCTCTCCCATCCCCTCGGTGTGAGTGGGTTTCTCTCTCTCCCATCCCCTTGGTGTGAGTGGGTCTCTCTCTCTCCCATCCCCTCGGTGTGAGTGTGTGTCGTGGTCTCTCTCCCATCCCCTCAGTGTGAGTGTGTGTCGTGCTCTCTCTCCCATCCCCTCGGTGTGAGTGTGTGTCGTGCTCTCTCTCCCATCCCCTCGGTGTGAGTGTGTGTCATGCTCTCTCTCCCATTCCCTCGGTGTGAGTGTGTGTCGTGCTCTCTTTCCCATTCCCTCAGTGTGAGTGTGTGTCGTGCTCTCTCTCCTATCCCCTCGGTGTGAGTGTGTGTCGTGCTCTCTCTCCTATCCCCTCATTGTGAGTGTGTAAGTGTTGCCATGGCAACGCTGCCGACATGCATTACATGCCATGCATAGCGTTGCCATGGCAACCCGCGGCAACGCTCACACAGTTCGCGAGAAGAGAGGACCTGATGCTACAGGAGGTGCAATATTACACTCCTGGGTCCCTTCTTCACAGGACACCGTATGATGTGCCACCGGACCACCAGGAAATCCTGTGTGCACCCCACACTGAAACAGGTAAGAGGCAGGGAGGGTGGAAAAAAAAAACTAAATTAATAAAAATATATAAAAACTACTGTCCCCTCACAGCCCTTATCCTATCCCACTGCACTACATTCACTACACATAAAGACACTGCACCCACTACCCACACACACAGACACTGCGTCCACTATACACAATGCATTCACTACACACACACACTGTATAACATAATGGATGTGCGCAAAGCTTTTTTTTTTGGGGGGGGGGGCAGAATTTAATTCTTGGCTTCTTGGGCTTCAGCCGGCGTGTCTCTCTCTCTCCCAGCCATGCACAGACGGCGTGTCTCTCTCTCCCAGCCACGCACAGCCGGCGTGTCTCTCTCTCCCAGCCACGCACAGCCGGCGTGTCTCTCTCTCCCAGCCACGCACAGCCGGCGTGTCTCTCTCTCTCCCAGCCACGCACAGCTGGCGTGTCTCTCTCTCTCCCAGCCACGCACAGCCGTCGTGTTTCTCTCTCCCAGCCACGCACAGCCGGCGTGTGCGTCTCTCTCTCTCTCTCTCCCAGCCACGCACAGCCGGCGTGTGCGTCTCTCTCTCCCAGCCACGCACAGCCAGCGTGTCTTTTTCTCTCTCTCCCAGCCACGCACAGCCGGCATGTGCGTCTCTCTCTCTCCCAGCCACGCACAGCCGGCGTTTGCGTCTCTCTCTCCCAGCCACGCACAGCCTGCGTGTGCGTCTCTCTCCCAGCCACGCACAGCCGGCGTGTGCGTCTCTCTCCCAGCCACGCACAACCGGCGTGTCTCTCTCTCTCCCAGCCACGCACAGCCGGCATGTGCGTCTCTCTCTCTCCCAGCCACGCACAGCCGGCATGTGAGTCTCTCTCCCAGCCATGCACAGCCGGCGTGTGAGTCTCTCTCGCACAGCCAGTATGTGCGTCTCTCTCTCTCCCAGCCACGCACAGCCGGCGTTTGCATCTCTCTCTCTCCCAACCACGCACAACCGGCGTGTGCGTCTCTCTCTCCCAGCCACGCACAACCTGCGTGTGCGTCTCTCTCTCTCCCAGCCACGCACAGCCTGCGTCTCTCTCTCTCCCAGCCACACACAGCCGGCGCGTCTCTCTCTCCCCCAGCCACGCACAGCCGGCGCGTCTCTCTCTCTCTCCCAGCCACGCACAGCCGGCGTGTGAGTCTCTCTCTCTCTCTACCAGCCACGCACAGCCGACGCACCTATATCTCTCTCCCAGCAACGCACAGCTGGCATGTGTCTCTCTCTTTCTCTGTACCAGCCACGCACAGCCGGCGTGTCTCTGTCCCACACATTCCCCTCCTGCCAATCATTTCATGTAGCGTGGCCAAGGCACCGCAGTAGAGAATCTTCTGTATCCTCTACCCAGTCTAACAGGAAGTGCTCCCAGACAGAGTAGTGGATACAGAGATTCTCCACCACAGTTCACTCGACCACGCTACAAGTAGGTAAGCTGGCACTGCAGAAGTAGTTAGACAGCAAAAAGAGGGGACGGACAAAGAGACACACAGGGGACTGAGGGTGGACAAAAAGACGCAAGAGTGGCAAAGAGATACACAGGGGGCAAAGTGACACACAAAGAAGCTTTGGGGGGCAAAGACACAAACAGAGGGCAAAGACACAAACAGGGACAAAGACTAGGAGGAGCATACTCAGAGGGGCTTAGCTGAACAAAGAGGCACACAGAAGAGTTGGGGGGGATATAAAGGTACACAGGGCCGGAGGAACAAATAAATACACTGAGGGGCAAAGAGACACATGTAAGGACAAAGACATACAAAGGGAGCTGCGGAGGGGGCAAAAAGACACAGTGGGGCTTTGGGGGGACGGAGAGACAAAGGGACTGGGGGGACAAAGACACGCAGAGGCAAAGAAACAAACTAGGGGGAACAGACACACAGAGGGGCTAAGGGGGGCAGAAGGGCTTAGAGAGAAAAAGACACACATACAGGAGCTTGGAGGATAAAGACAATTAAATAAATTGTATCATTTTAGCTCTATATTTATGAAAAATATCCCTTATTAAAGAAAGAAATGTTTACCTTAATCTAATGTCCACTCATCATTGAGTGTTGTATCTCATGTATTTGTGTATATGTCTTTACCACCCATCTATCGTATGTGCGAGCGCCCATTCCTTGCGTACTGCCTGGGAGTGTGCGTTGCTACTCCCATCTGCAGGTCAATCCACTTTGTGCAAAGTGCATGTGCTCAATGTATCACCAACACTGTCCAATAAAATTCTCTCAGGGGGACTCAAAATAGGAGTATACCTCCTTACTTTTTTTTTAAAGCAAGTATTTTAAAAATTTAATAATTTTTTTTTTTTTACTACTGCATGTTGAAACATGATGAAAACATTTTTAACATAATTAGTTAGATTTTCTGTAATGTAAATATAGATTTTTAATTCATTTAACTTTTATTATTTATATCAGTGTTCATTCCTTCTGGAGTTATCCTTTTAATATGTTTATGGGAATAGAATAGAATAAAGCAATTGTACATGTTTCACAATGTTAAACTTTATTCCTGTTTACTTTTAATTAAAAAAAAAAAAAATTCAATTAAAATCTGTTTGTTTTCTTTTAACTATATGCATATAATGTTTTTCTTCTCATGTGGGAAACCATGTTAGTCTCTGTAGCAGGCCGAGGGTAACCCGACTGGTTACATCAGCTAATGCAGAATGAAGAGACCCATTTTCCCTCAGTAACGAGACACTGTTCCAGGGGTACAACAACCACTTTATTTGGCCACACAAACGCTCCCCCTGGATGCCGTTTGTCTATACGAACGGCGGCCACCCAGGGAAGCACTCATTCATTACTTCCCTTGCGGTTTCACACTTATGTTGCGAGTTGCCAACGTTCTAATTGATTGGTGTGAGTATGCCAAGGGGCATTGGAATCCGCAAATGCTCCCCCTATATGGCGTTCGTCTAATGAACGGACTGCCACCCAGGGTCAGCACGCGCCAAGGCTTACCTTGCGGTCTGTGGTTTTGACACCTCGTTACGCGGTTTGAACATTCTACGACAACATTCTAAATGGGGTTTCGTGGTGGTCCCAGTTAAGGAGGTGAACGGAACCCGTTTGTATGGCGCTCCCGAAAGGGGAGCAGGCAAAGCAGATGAATACATCGCAATACAGGGCAAAACACGGGGAATAGCACATAGCAATTCACGGACAGGAACAGTCTCCCACAACCAAACAATAACTTTCTAGTCACATGGGTATATTAATCTAATAGATTAAATCAAGACTCAATAAATCCCAGGTGCCCGATCGCCATGGCGACTAGGAATTTTCTCTTAGCGCTTGGGTATTTGTCAGTGCTTTCAGGGGGCTGGGGGAGAATGGAGGCGGTGGCGAAGGAGCTGTGATCTTGTTGTTCCGCTGTGATGCCGGAAGCCGGCCAGCGAAGAGGCAGAGCAACCCCACACTAGACCTTAAGGAAAGGAACGCAGTGAGGCTGGGTGCCATTAAATTAAAAAACGAATAATTTGTAAGTGTGCGAGAGAATGTGTGTGTGTGTGTGTAAATCCCAAACAAATTCTGCAGCACTGTACAATAGGTGTGTGTCTATCAGTAAGTGTCAAATTAGTGAGTGTGTGTCTGTCAGTGAGTATGTCTGAGTGTGACTGGCGCCCTCACCTTTTTTCCCACGCTGTGTTGGCTCGCAGTGGCTGGCCCTGCCTCAATGGCTAATAATCATTCATGATGGGGGCGTGGCCACGACCTTGACCAAGATGGCTGCTTAGACCGTGTGCTCCGCTCCAACATAACCCCCTAAACAGCGATTTTATACAGCTACAGGCGACGGATGGGTCGCAGCAGGCGCACGGAGCCCTCTCAGACACCGAGGGGCTCCCAACAACACCCCTCTCAGGGCCTCATGGACCCCTTTTTGCAGCCGACCTCCGGTGCCGGAGGAGAGACGGCGGGCCCGGCCTCAACACCACCGTCTCCTGCCTCCTCCTCGGGCGCAGAACACTCCTCTCTAGATCGGATAGGGGAGGAAATCCGATCCATCGCGGCCTCTATGGCCACTAAAACTGACCTGCTGACACTTACCACCACGATACAAGATGCCCTGCACCTGGAGGACCTCGATAATAGAGGCCGCAGGTGCAACATCAGGGTAAGGGGGGTTCCAGAGACAGCGGGAGGGGAGAATGCGACAGAGGTCCTGTCAGGCCTCTTTAAAATGCTACTACAGGAGGAAGCCCCTGAATGCTTTGAATTTGAAAGGGCACACAGGGCTGCGCGCCCGAGATCTATTGAAGATGGGCCAAGGGATCTCATCTGTTGTCTCCACTCCTTCCCTGTCAAGGAATTAATTATGAGGAAGGCCCGCGAACGCCCAGAATGGACCTATCGTAACTCTCAGGTCTCTCTTTACAATGACCTATCTCCCCTCACGCTTGAGGCCCGAAGAGCTTTAAAACCGGTTACAACAGCATTACGTGACCGTCACATCGATTACAAATGGGGCTTCCCTTTTGCGTTGCTGGCCCGCCACCAGGACTCATGGATCTCAGCGAGATGGCCGGCGGAGATACCTCGCTTTTTAGAGACCCTGGACCTACCGCCTATCCAGATTACGAATTGGGTCCTTGGCCCTGCTGGACAGGGCCCACGGCCTCAGAGAGCTCCACGGCGGCGCAGGGATGGATCCCCTCAGAGGCGGCCCCCCAGGCGGCGCATGGAACAAGGAGGCCAGGATGAGTGAGTACCCGTATGGGTATAAGTGCCCGTGTCCCTGGCCCCAGCTGACCCGGTTATGAGCGCCCATAAATCTGACATGGCACCTAAGTCTGCTCACCTAGCCTGACATCCCTCTCCCCTCCCCCCTCCCCCACCGTACGAGATACCATAGTCTGCATGCCTTCACATAGAGAGGCCCCCTCTCTCTACGCCGTCAGCTACGCCCATGGGATGAAGATATACCGAAAATGGGAACGTGATGATCAATGCTCTGTCCCCACAGATGCAACAAAGGAGGGGATTAAAGTCTTCTGGTCAAACAGGTGAATTAACATGTAATCCTCTCAAAGTCAGCTCCTCTTGCTTCTTACAGACGAACATAAGTCATCAGTGTTTAAGACTCATACCCAAGGACCACGTTATACCCGTTTATCAACAAACACAGTAAAAAGAAAAAAAGTGAGAGAGAAAAAGATCGGAAAGGAAGGGGGGGGAAAAAGAGGAAAAAAGGGAGAAAAAAAAGGGAGAACAGGGATTTTGTCTTGCGCTATAATAACAGTGTTATATGGACAGTGGTGACTACTTTGCTGCTAACATAGTTGGTGATCTAGAGAAGTGATGACGCATCGGATGAGAGCATGTAGCAGTCAGGAGCTTGACAAAACAGAGATGTCACCAATTTGAAATCGGATCTCTACCCAAACGGGAACTTGGAAAACACCTTTGTACATAAGAACGGTGGAGCCTTGGAGCTGTACTGAGTAGGCATACCCAGACGCCGATTCCACTCAATTACTGCCTCCTTTTGCTCCAGCTGGCCTTCCCTTTCATGTTCAACCGCCACGTGGGCGATAAGAAGCCTTCTGCGTTTCATCACCATGCGGATGGGTGAATACAGATAGAGTGACATTAGGGATATTTAGGACTATTACAGCGACTAGAACTGTAAGACGAAAAGGAAGGAAAATGAGAGAGGGATTTCGGCGACTAGACAACACTGCATGTAAAGAGAAGAAAGGACAGCAAGGGCAATCAAAGAGAAAGACATGTATAAAACGCAAAAGAAAGGGAAATTTTTTTTTTTTTTTTTTCTCTTCCCTTTGCCCAAATTGAGACGCTAAGCGGTTGTTTTTGTCACACGTGGCTCTCTTGAAGACGCTGAGCTGGCGAATGGCTGCTCTGATAGCCTTTTATTGACCTACTGCATTTTCACTGGACAGTCGGGAAGAAACTACACTTTCCTGCCGAGAAGTGCCATATTGCTTTGAACTTTCTATCAATTACAGTGCTGTTATCTATGGTATTGGTAAGCTTTGCCTGTGAAATACATGTTGGTCGGTAGGACTAGGTCGAAAGCAGATGTAAGTTGTTACCCCGATACACCTGGTTAGGCTTTCCACCTGGTCCACACATCACCCACGTATATCGCAGTGACACCCCTCTAGATTAAATGGGCGGGAATATGGTAGTGGGACGTGAGGTCGAGAGGTCAACCCAGACTGTACAAGGGACACATATCATGCCACGGACACAGGGTCACCCCGGGTCCTGACGTGGGGGGATACACCACACAGAGTACGAGGAAACCACAGAGATGTACAAGCCCACATGGCGATACAAACTAGCTCCACCCATACTCCATACGTTGGAGATGGACGGATCACACGTAGGGGGGAATAAGGGGACAGCTGCCACTTAAATGCGGATTGACTTTGCGACCTTATTCGGACCCAATACTCGCATACCATCAGGTTGGAGGGTTGGACATGGGACTGACAACCGCCGCTTATGCAAGGCAGCCACTGACTTCCAACGCAGGACAAACAATACAGCTGGTGACCTTACACTGGGAGTAGGGAACCGGGACACCTGGGGAGGGCACTTCTGGGGACTTGAGGGACGGATAGGGGACTATATACTGGTCAATTCCTAACATGCTGTGATTGTTATTAGGATGCTTTGTTGCTACCCATGTTGTTGTTCTGTTTGTTTTATTTGTTCATTTATGCACTAAATCGCCTTATGGAATGTGTATGTTCAGCGAACACGGGGTGTTATGTGGACGGATATCTCTTCACCACACACACCTGATACCACTTGGTTGGGTATTAACCCACGTAGCCCCACTCATACTCGTGCTACAGACTCGCGACGGACCACAGCGGGACACTGTCTAGAGGTCTGGTTACCAGGACGTGTTCCTTGTGCTACCCGCCGCAGCACGAGTCACCCCAATCCTAGGGGTGGCACAGGAGGGGTACCTCTTACCCCGGCATAGACACCCAGTGGACGGGAAGTCTACTCCACTTCTCTCTTCTCTTTTCCTTCTGCCGTCTAACCCACTCCTACTTTTGTCCACCTCCATCTTCTCCCACTCACTCTCCCCTACTCGTCATCTTCACCCCCCTCCCCTCACACCAACCGCTCTACACCTCAACTGCCCTCTACGCAGCAGACTCTCTCCCCTGCCTGCATCTATTGGCCTGCCACGGGGACCTGCGCCCTCGCGGGGTGGTTGGGGCCTCATAGGGAGGGAGGAGGTTTGGGAACTTAGCGCTCACCACATATAACCTGCATACGCTAAAAACCATGGCATACCAGCCGGCACCCCTATCTGTCCTCACTCTCAACTGCAGGGGACTGAACATCCCAGAACGGAGAACCCACCTCCTACGTGAGCTTAGGAAACGACACGCATCGGTTGCGATGCTACAGGAGACACACTTTCGATCCGCAATAAATTCTACCCGACGAACCACTTCTGCAATCACCCTACGGCAAGAAAAGCAGGTGTAGCCATCTTACTATCTGCGGACCTGGAGTTCCAAACGCTGGATACCGTTACTGACACGCACGGCAGATACCTTTTTCTGAAAGGGGTAATAGCGGGTAAGCTATATACCTTTGCCAACATTTATGTCCCCAATAAACGACAAGCAATGTTTTTAAAGAGCACACTGGCGAAATTGAACGACTTCTCGGAGGGCATCCTAATCCTCGGAGGCGACTTCAATGTCCCACTGGACCCCATTCTGGACTCCTCCACGGGGCACAGCAGCATCTCACAATTGCATTTACGAGCAATCCGGAGGATTCTGGGCAATATGGACCTCGCCGATTGTTGGAGAACGCTTAACCCTTCCGCGAAAGATTTTACATACTACTCAGCAATTCACGATAGGTACTCACGCATCGACTACCTTTTTATCAGACAAGCGGGGTTATCGCGAATAATATCAGCCAAGATAGAGCCTGCTACATGGTCGGATCATGGTCCCGTGGTTATGGAACTCGAGTCTCCACTTTTTCGCCCTGCTAAGTGGACATGGAGACTCAATGAGACTCTACTCCTAGACCCCGGCACGCGGGAACAAGTATCGCAAGCCCTGACTCACTATTTTCAAGATAACGCGTCACCGGACATGTCTCCAATAACGATTTGGGAAGCACACAAGAGCGTCCTACGGGGCACGCTTATACGCATAGCTACACATAAGAAGAAAACAGCGATGAAGGAGATGGCTAACCTATACAGAAGAATCACAGAACTGGAAAGCCAGCATAAAAGATCGCTCCTCATGGAGACATACCGGGACCTGATGCAATCCAGGCGACAACTAAAGGAGCTCCTTATGAAACGCCATCACCGCTCTCTGCAACGCTCTAAAGCTTTCTTTTACACCCACGCTAACAAGGGGGGGCGATACCTTGCCCGTCTGCTGAGGGGCCAAATACCCCGCACCCAGGTCCGTAAATTACACCTCACATCAGGCGTGATCTCAAGCATGCCGGCGGATATTGCAGGGGAATTCCAGCTGTTCTATAGATCCTTGTATAACCTCGACGCGGAGAATACACAGGCGCACTCGGCGATGATGATAGCACGCACACGAGATTACCTCCATGACACGGTCGAACCAACCATCTCTCCTGACACAGCTATCGACCTGGAGACCCAAATCACGGAGGATGAACTGGCAGCAGCACTGAAGGCAACCAAGAAGGGGAAGGCACCAGGCCCGGACGGATTTTCCGTAGGCTACTATAAAACATTTTCATCTATAGTCTTGCCCTGGCTTACCAAGGCCCTCAACGCGATTGCAGATGGGGGTCGCTTCGGAGTCGAATCTTTAAAGGCCACTATCACGGTTCTTCCTAAACCCGGAAAGGACCCGTCACTCTGCGGTAGCTATCGTCCGATCTCGTTGTTGAATGTTGACACCAAACTGTTTACGAAAGTACTGGCTACCAGGCTCCAAACCATCCTCCCTACTCTCGTACACAAAGACCAAACGGGATTTATTCCGGGCCGGGAGGCGAGAGACAGCACGCTTCGGCTCTTCGCGATACAACACCAGGCTAGGAAGACACGACAACCCCTTCTCCTGATTTCCACAGACGCTGAGAAGGCGTTTGATAGGGTGAAGTGGTCACATATGTTCGCCACCCTTGGCCAGATGGGACTGGGACACAGATTCCTCACGATGATTCGGGCCCTGTATGATAAGCCACGAGCGGCAGTGCGAGTCAACGGCACACTTACCGGAGATTTCGAGATATCCAATGGTACAAGGCAGGGATGCCCCTTATCCCCTCTACTTTTTGCTATCTCATTAGAACCCTTGCTCCAGAGGATACGCCAGCAACCCGACATCTGTGGCTTTTCGTGGCTGGGCACGACGCATAAAGTAGCCGCATATGCAGACGACCTCTTGTTCTACATAACAAATCCTCGAATTGCGATACCCTGCCTGCTGTCGGAATTTGAGACGTTTGGTTCGATCTCTGGCTTCAAGCTTAATTTATCTAAATGCGAAGTGCTAAATGTGTCAATGCCTGAGGACGAATACGCGGCCCTGGAACCACTGTTCCCGTTCCGGTGGTGCTACCAAAAACTGAAATATCTGGGGATCTGGATAACTCCACACCCTAACGACCTGTACCGACACAACTTCATCCCTCTCCTGCAGAAAATAACAGAGGACTTGAAAAGATGGGCGCACCCGCACATCTCATGGCATGGACGGGTAGCTGTTCTGAAAATGAACATTCTACCACGCCTGCTTTATCCGTTCCAAACACTCCCACTGGCCATACCGACCACTTTCTTCTCCGCGCTGAAATCTGCAGTCATACGATACGTATGGCGAGGGGAGAGGGCGAGATTACGGTTTGACTTACTCTGCCTCCCCAGGCATCGTGGTGGGCTAGCTTTGCCCGACTTCAGGAAATATCATCAAGCCACGGTCCTGCAGCGCGTAATGGAGCTTCACGCAGAACCCCAACAAAAGCAGTGGGTGGCATTGACCCGGGACAGCCCCGACACTCCTGTGCAACCGGTCATCTGGGGAGGGGGAACTAGAAGAGTATCGCGAATAACCAACGAAGGACTACTGGAACAAACACTATACACTTGGAACTCCATGAGAGAGGTAGCCCATATCTCACCTACACCTAGTCCAATGCTTTCTATCACTCATAATAAAGAGCTCGGAGGCGGGTTTTCACCGGCGATGTGGCCTTTTCTGGAAGGACGTGAGTACGTTCCAATCCACACGACACTGCGGGATGGATCAATGCGATCCATAGATAACCTATTAGAGGGGCGACCACGGACGCCACTGGCAATACTCCGCTACCTACAAGTGAAACACTATCACAATAATTTGCGGGACAAGGAACGACTGCATAGGGACCGCACATGGTTCGAGGACTGCTGTGAGAGGAAGATCGTATTGGATAATGCTATCTCTTTCCTTTATCAACACATCCTGACGGGGCACCTGACGGCGAATGCAATGTTCCGCAGGCAATGGGAGGAACAGATGGACACAACCTTTACGCCACAACAATGGGATAAGGCACTTCTATGGCAACACAAGAGCTCCGTTAGCTCTCAATATCAAGAAACAAACTATAAATTGATTACCTTGTGGTATCGGACCCCGGTTCTCCTACATAGGATCTTCCCAACTGCTGCACCTACATGCTGGAGATGCCAAAGGGATAGAGGGACGATAATGCATATATGGTGGGAGTGTAGCGCAATAGTCCCATTCTGGGATATGATCAAACAACGAATAACAGATATATTGGGCGAAGGGACGGAATGGTCGGCTGCTTTGGCTCTCCTACATATATCGCAGATGCCGTTATCCTCCTATAAGAAATCGATTCTCAGACATCTCTTGAACGCGGCTAAGTCGCTCATTCCATTGTATTGGAAACGGACGGAGATACCCAACGAAGAAGATTGGATCCGCAGGGTTGAAGATATCCAAGGAGCTGAAGCACTACAAGCATCCATACAAGACAGAGGGGACAAACATGCCGAACGGTGGTTTCCATGGTTCACTTTCATGTCACGAAACACAGGGGGCTAGGACGGTGACCCGGCGGCTTACGCGGGGGCGCAGGGCCCTCTGGGGCAAGGCCAATGTGCATGTCCTAATTATATGAACCCTACTCCATCCACGCCTCCTGTAGAATGGATACACCTCTGCGACCCCCTCATTCTCCCTCTCTTCTGGCCATATATCTAAACTACCGCCAGTGAATGGTTAAATGACCTATTTGACCCTAGAACACGCACCTGGCCGAAGATGGAGGCCACGAACCGAACACACGTAGATAAGTGACATTGAGCGCGCTATATGTTAAGCACAGTGCAGTGTATCTCTAGAGGACATAATACCCACTCCCACCACACTCTGATGATGTAGGCGTGGTACAACTCTAGCAAATTAAATCATGCCCTCCTCCCTTCCCCCTTCTCCTTCTTCTTTCCCATTCTTGCTACTGCTTTCTACTCAAACACTCTTTGATACGCACTACCTTAGCTCCCCTGTGTGCGGTTCGCACTTACGGGGACAGGCTAAGACGTTGCAAGCCTCTGGAAAAATGTATGTAAAATGGTATTCATAATCTCTTATAATTCACGGGGCGAGAGCCCTATAGCCAGTATTTGGTGATAAGTTCTAGATCCTGCACTGGCTCCCTCATCTCCTCATACTCTTGTAAGGGCGTCTATTACATAATAACACAATGGAAGAGTGGATGCCAATAATGGTCTGGAGATATTATGCAATGCTGTGTGATTAACGTTGTCTTATATGAAACTATATTGTATCTTGTTACAACTTTATACTTGATTTCATCCTTATTTCTTCAATAAAAAGATATTGATAAAAAAAAAAATAATCATTCATGATGATCTCAACCAGTCCATTGCTTCCCATAGGGTAGCATTAGGAGACTACTGCGCATGCATGGCAAAAATGCCTCACCGAGCCAATCAGCATCTACTCATAGAGATGCATTTTCTCTCAAAAGGCAGTGTTTGCATTGAAAACCCTGCAGGAATAAGCTATAGACACCAGAATCACGATATTAATTGTTGGAACATGTACTGTCCTTGATGATCAGCAGAGCTATCTGCCATGGTCTTATAGTTCTAACCAAACTGTGCCACGACCTCAAGTATTTGGAGACACTCTTGAGAGACCATACAAAGGAGTCTGATTCATAAAATGTCCAAAATTTATTGAACAGAACACCGCTTATAAATCTTATGCAATAAGGGGGGGTCTAGTGGGAGTATCATTAATTACCAATCAAATATTGACAACTATTAACTAACAGCATGGAAAGGTTGTGCAGACAGCATAAAATATGCAACAAATTGATTCTAAGTTTATCTAGAGGGCATTACTAGGCAGGGTGTTCTTAGAATAGGAGGGTGTAGCGATAGGATCTTACTAGAAGAGGGGGAACAAAGATGGTCATGTGCCATACTACGTATGTGACGTCCTTTCAATGTACAAGGTTGTTCAGCTGAACAGAAATTAACCACTTCATTAAGCTCTGGTTCTGGGGCCTACAGTGTCCCTTTAAGAATTATATTTTTGTTGTTGAAAATATAGCTTTGTTAGTTTTAGAAAAAACAACCTGACTCCTAACTAACTGCGGATTAAGTCCACATAGTAGGAGGTGTGGTTTGTGAAATAGGAGCCCGGGCTGCCTACAAAGTATTGTGTAGTGGACATGTCTAAAGGTGATGAGAACTAGCACAGCTGTGTATTGTACTAAAAGCAAGGTAGAATATCAAAAAAAATGGTCAATAACTGCATTTTTCTCCTGCTAGATGTTTAAAGACCACACAGTTTAAGGTGGGAGGGCACTATGAGTCCAGGGTAGATGGAAGAATATTGAATAAAATGAAAAGAAATAATTTTCTATGATATTTCTAGCCTTTCAAAGCATGGCAACATACAGATGTTCAAACGGCTACTAGATGCATACTTGCAAGAACAGAATATTCAAGGATATAATCTTTCAATGTAGGGTAATAACTGCTTGATCCAAGGATAAATCTGACTGCCATTCTGGGGTCAAGAAGGAATTTTTTTCCTAGCTTGTTGCAAAATTGTGCTTCAAACTGGGTTTTTTTGCCTTCTTTTGGATCAACAGCAAAAAACATATGTGAGGAAGGCTGAACTTGATGGACGCAAGTCTCTTTTCAGCTATGTAACTATGTAACTATGTAACTATGTGAGTAGTAAACACAGTACCATATACCCATTCCGCTTTACAAAGTGTCCGATAAAATAAACCAGTTTTCTTTATTTTTCACAATCTTCGGCTAACGTCCTTATACAGTGTATAAAAATGCCCATAAAAAAAACCACAAGTCACTACAGCCAACTGACAACAAACTACTACAGCCCTTGCAAAATAAGCAACAAAATGGCCTCCCCAGCCTATAAATGGCAAACGATTGCAAAAGCAGATTTTGTTTTGTTTTTTAAATATGTAGAAAAGTATTTAGTCTGTAAAACATACGGGTGACTAGGAAAAAGTTAATACTTAAGTAGGAGATAGTGCCATTTTTTGCAACAACTGGGTACCACCAAGTTTTACAAACAAAATTTTTAAAGATAGCCGAGAGTTTCTGCAGCTCAGATGAAGATTGATTGTGAGTAAATAGTTAGAAAGACCACACAGGTGTAAAGTTAAAGGGCAATGTGTCAGGATTTTTATAGGTGGCGCTGAAAGAAATGGTGCCCAATAGTGGCATAATCTTAGTGTGCTCCAATTTCCAACATGAAGTCATGACAAAAGTAAGGAGTTAACACTACTTGTGCTGTTTCTGAACTTCCACCTTGCTCTGGTGCTATTTGCCTAAAATCCTCTAATAATCTCCACCAAACTGTGCGAGGCAGAGTCTCAATTTCAGAAGCCAAATGTGCTGTGTAAAGTATAAAACCAGTGCAATGGATTTTATAAATATGACAGCCAATGCACCTCTTCTCGCTTTCCTGACACTTGCGTCTGCCGCTCCCTGGACAAAATCACTCTCTATGAGTACACAACAAATGAAAAAATGTTGGAGTCAGAAATGAACCAGACCAGTACCCATAAACTAAACAAATATAGGTATATAATGACACTGCGGAAGTCAAAAGAAGAAAAGAAAATCTCAGCATTAACACTGTGTTTATGTGAATTTTATTTCAAAGCAATGACATGAATATGGGTGTTGTATCTAATCACAGTGCCATATATCCTCACTCACCTTATGTGGGTCTATATACTGCCCACTTCAATTTCTAGATTGCCAGCAATTGCATCCCTTTACTTTCAAATTGACCTTACGCACTGTCCCCCGCTTTCCACACTGCTACAGCTTTACGAATTTGGGACCAACTCAATCTCCCTACCGGCCCACAGCTTCCAGTCATCATGAGCCGCAAGGGCTGCAGCAGGTCTTTACATGTAACAAACTCAGATCTCAGTACGTGCTGTCTTGTGCTCCACATAAGTTAAAATCATTCCCTCTAGCTGAGAAGTTTGCAATCAATAAATGTTCATTAGCAGTATAAAAACTAGGAATTCTTATCCTTGGAAAGGATCACTATTAGCTTAAGGTTTACAGTCCCTTAGCAGTATAAAAACTATGTAAAGGATCTTTGTGAGCTGGAGCTATAAAGGTCATATAACAGGATAGGAACTAGATTTCTCACTGTGAGCTGTCTAGTTCATATCCCTTTAAAGCGGCACTGTCATACTGAACTTACCTTTCCTCTTCCTCTTCTCCCCCCTCTCAGGATCTGTTCTTCTTTTCTTCCTGTCTTCTTTAGTTTTCTTTAAAGCCATAAGACAAATCTCCCCCCACCCCCCCAATCAAAGGTGACTAGGGGTCCCCAAGCCCCTAGTCACCCACCCCACCCCCAAAAAAAAGTTACCCCTACCCACCCCCCTCACCCTAAAAAATAGTGAGGAAGGAATAAAATAACTAACCTGTAAAGAAAAATTAAACTTACCATTTGACGTCTTCTTTTTTCTAAAATCAGAATTTTTCAGCCCCCAAAAAGGCCAAATAAAAAAACCATCATACCCGTTGAACTTAAAATAAAAAAAAACCTGACAAAAAAAGAAACACAACCATGGTGAAGAAACGGAAAGGTCGGGTAGTTATCGATTCTGATTCAGAAGACAAATAAGAACACTCTTATTTGCTGGTTTTAGCCAATCAGAGTGCTTTGTGTCATTTTACACAGCGTGGGAAAGCTCTTTGGAAATTTCACACGCTGTGTAAAATGACAAAGAGCACTCTGATTGGTTAGATTCCAAGCCCACCAATCAGAGTGTTATGAGTCAAATTACACAGTGTGGGAAAATTCCAAAGAACTTTCCCATGCTGTGTAAAATGATACAAAGCACTCTGATTGGATGGATTTCAAGCCACCCAATCAGAGTGCTCTGTGTCATTTTACACAGCGTGGGAAAGTTCTTTGGAATTTTCCCCACGCTGTGTAAAATGACAAAGAGGAATTAGATTTCTCGCTGTGAACCGTCTAGTTCCTATCCCTGTTAAGGACCATTGTTAGCTGAAGGTATAGAGGTCCCTTAGCAGTATAGGAACTAGGTATTACTATCCCTGTAAGGGACCTGTGTGAGCTGGAGCTATAAAGGTCCTTTTGCTGGATAGGAACTAGATGTTACTATCCCTGTAAGGAACATGTGTGAGCCAGAGCTACAAAGGTCCTTTTGCTGGATAGGAACTAGATTTCTCTCTGTGAACCGTCTAGTTCCTATCCCTGTTAAGGACCATTGTTAGCTGAAGGTATAGAGGTCCCTTAGCAGTATAGGAACTAGGTATTACTATCCCTGTAAGGGACCTGTGTGAGCTGGAGCTATAAAGGTCCTTTTGCTGGATAGGAACTAGATGTTACTATCCCTGTAAGGAACATGTGTGAGCCAGAGCTATAAAGGTCCTTTTTCTGGATAGGAACTAGATTTCTCACTGTGAGCGGTCTAGTTCCTATCCCTGTAAGGGACCATTGTTAGCTGAAGGTATAGAGGTCCCTTAACAGTATAGGAACTAGGTATTACTATCCATGTAAGGGACCTGTGTAAGCTGGAGATATAAAGGTCCTTTTGCCGGATAGGACCTTTATGTGAGCTGTCTAGTTCCTATACTTTAAGAGGAGCTGAACACTATGGAGAAATAGATCCTTTAGCAGGATAGGAACCTATAGTAAAATGATAGAACACCGACTACTAAATTGACGATTTTTTTTTAACTAAAAACAACAATTTTGGCCACAAATTTAATTTAAATTCCCAACCCCGCTTACATTTATTTCTCCTGATTTGAATAGACACGAACGGCGCTTTTACTCGTGACATTTTACGCTTATTATTGAAAACATGCGTTGAAAATTCTTTCCCGCCTAACACGTGCTACGACTACTTCCGGCGGAGTGACGTCAGGAGGTCAAAGAACGAGGGGCGGGGCAAGAAACGGAAGTTTTAATGCGCATGCTCTGTGCTCTTTGTGTGCGAGTTGCTGGCCTCAATTCTTTGGTCTGAGCTCGGGAAACACAACCATGGTGAAGAAACGGAAAGGTCGGGTAGTTATCGATTCTGATTCAGAAGACAGTGGCAGCGATGAAAACTTGGAGCAGGTAAGTTACAGTAAGGTAAACATTCGATGGCCGTAATGATGGTATTTATCTAACTTGTCATGGGCCCTGAGTTCTTCACATTGCATATACAGTATTTGCGTCCAACGCAATTTAATGTGTTGTGTGTGTGGGTTTTTTTTTTTTGCTTCATGAATAATTTGTTATGCGTACACTTCGGTTTGCACTAAATTGGTAGACACTGTTAGTTACATTTCTTTCCATACTGGTTTTAAATGCCTTTCTTTCATGTATAACCTAGGGGTTTTTAGTGGTGTAATGTTCTGATACCATCTATACAATTGTTTTTGTTCTATCCTTAAGATGTTAGGAGTCTTATGCTCCCATTGCCTTTTAGGCTTTAGATACACGTATGTACACCTTTAGTAATTGTAGCCTCACACAACCTATGTGTTCTGCTTTCAAAAAGTGTAGAATAGGTTGCATTTTGGCATATAAGTTCCTGAGCTTGTGTATATATTCTGCTGTAATAAGAAACGTGAGTGACTCTTTGTGATGCCATTAACAATAATATAATAATTAGCCAAGATGATGTTCTCATAGACCAATGTCTTTTCTATATGCCTGTTTATAAGGTAATTTTTATCCCAGATCAGTCTTGGTTTGTAGAAAACAGTTTTCCGTCAAACCAGGTTTGTCCGAGGAAAGACCTCCTCCCCCACTCCCCCATTTTGTGTATGTATATATAAATGTATTTTTTTTTTTTTCTTCACTTTTTCAGAATTTTATATTTCAAACGGTTACTCCCAAGCATCATAATCACTTGACTGGTTTACGTGGTCATATGTTTCATTCTGAAATCTGGATCGGTTTCATTCTGAAATGCAGTGTATATATGTAAAAGTGTATATTATTGCATAGGTGTAACTCCACCGTTGTGACTGAGCGCCTGGCACCCCTACTGGGTGCTCTTCCAATTGCTGCTTCCTAGTCGCCGCGAGTACTATAAGCACTGCACACCATAAGTACATTAGCTGCCGCAGCTTGGCTGAGGTTTCACTGTCCTCCACCCATCCTGGACCTACGACAAGAATCCTTCCAGTGGATGGACCTCTCCTCCTCCAGAGGGTATAGCAGTTCTGGCTGTGTATCTCTTATAAGAGCTAGTGATTATAGCCAGTTTAGTAATCCAAAGAGCAATCCCAGGAGCAGGGATTATAGCTGGTATAGCAGTTCCCTACACCAAGAGACAAGACTCTGTGTTGAGGGTGAAGTAAGACTCCTTTTAATGGTGCCACACTCGGCCTTTGTCACAGGCCACTAATAACAGTGTTGCAATGCATGACACTCCCACATACTATAAGCCTTCCCCTTTACTTGGGAGATAATTGAGTCAAGCACTAAACTCGATTATCTCCCAACACATTTTTACAAAAGTCCCACAAATGTTACATCCCCTGATAGCCCTGTTCTGGGTGATTTTTGGATATGTTGGTCACCCAGATTATTTCAGGAATTTCCTGGAAGTCAGTTTTTTTTTTATTGACCGCACGCATGGTCCCATGCCCAAAACGGTTCCATAGAATCACGGCCAAGTGCCACTGGGGGCTGACTGGGAACCGCAAAGTCTTCATACTGAAAATAGTTCCAGGGCATTCGCCGTTAAGTCCTCCTGAAGTCTATTCGCGGTTTTGGTCCATGCGAACGGCCGTCAGGGAGCTAGGGTTTGGTTCTATGTGCACGAATGGAAAGTGCCGAACAAGGGTCTTTACAGTCGTTGACTTGGTCCTTAGTCTTTTGGCAAGAGGCTGGCGAGCAGGCCTTTTCAAGCACCCGTGACAAGGTTCAGTTCGTCACAACCTTAAGCAGTGTTTTTAACCTCAAAACGAGCAGGTCCTCCAAGCCAATGAATGACTGGCATTAAATCTGTAGAACCAGGATGCGAATCACCCAGTAGACAGCAGGACCTTTAGAGAGAAACTGTTGCAAAACTGTGTCCCATTTTGAGTATCTTGGCTATTACTACTCTAATAGTTATGTTGCAGTAATTTTATAGCGATCATTTTAAAGGATCATAACTTCTGATCATTAAAGGACCACTATAGGCACCCACACTACTTCAGCTCAATGAAGTGGTCTGGGTGCCAGGATCCCCTGGATTTAACCATGCATCTGAAAACATAGCAGTTTCAGAGAAACTCCTATGTTTTCATTGAGGGTTAATCTAGTGGCT